CTTTTTTTTGTCAAATTCTGAGAGTTAGAAAAAGTGGGTATTCACAAGTACCAAAATGATAAATCAGTCCTATTTGTACCAAAATAAAAAATCAATCAAGTTGGTACCAAATATTCAATTGGCCAAAGATTACTAAGCCGACTATTTTAAGCTCTTGGTTTACGGTCGCCAGTGGGCGCGCTACGCGCGCGTTGCGCCATAACTGGCTCTTACGTTCGGGTACGGGACATCAAGCGGACGAGCCTTCAAGCCGAAACGTAAAATTAGGGACTGCAAGCCGAAATTATTCTCAAAAGTCATTAAATAAGATTGAGTTGAAGACTGGTCTGAAAACTTACTCAATTTCATGACCTTTCTTCACCAGTTTTTGGTTTTTTTTTCATGAAATATAAGCCTCTAATTGATGATTAAGAACGGTAAAACGTAAAACATTGTTGGAGGCGCTTTTTATATTTATAATTTATTCATTTAAAAATCCATAAATTCATTATAGCCTAAAAATCATTATGGCCTATAGATCATTATGGCCTTAACTTGAGCCATTATGGCCTAAATTACAGATGGAACAAAATTGTTTTGAGGTTTATATCTGTTTAAGTTTCGGCCTGAGTTCCCTTCGGCTTGAAGTCTCGTCGGCTTGTTGTCCTAGACCCCTTATTTTCGTATAGAGTCCTACCCTCTGTTGGCAAGTTCGCAGCCCGTTGGCACCATTGCGGGGTCACTATTCTGCAGCTTCGTTTTCTTCTTTTTGAACAGTAGAAAATTAATGTAATAATTCGTTGGCTCACAATTCGACCATTCAGAAATCGACTTGAATAATGTTGGCACAAATTAGACCAATTTTTCATTTTGGTACAAATGAACTTTGGTATAAATGGGACTTCATTTAAGAAAACTGCCAACTGGGCCATGTTTTATACATTCTTATGCGCGCTTCGAAGATCTTATGAATGACGTTAATGCTAACTATTTATGCGAGACGAATTATCCCGCACTCAAAAGCGTTCCAAATTTGATTGCGGCAAGCTAACTGATCGTATAATTACCTGGATTACTGGAGATTCTTCAATACAAAACACTTGAGACCAATTAAGCGGCAGACGGATTATTCACGGCTCTCCTGATATACGTGCGACCTTGTTGATTTGACTTTAGAAAAAAGTGGGGAACATATATGACTGAAAAGGTTTTTTTATTTTCTGAAAAGTTTTTTTTATTTTCTGCCTAATTTTACGGAGAAAGTAGTTAGCAACGTATGGATATTGATCCAGAAATTTTCGAATTGCCGAGCAAGTATGCTTGCACTAAACTAAATTGCAGATGGCAGCGCTGCTCGAATAATACTTTCAACACGCGAAAAAGTTATGCGTGGCAAATTAACCGCACTATTAATCGTTCCAAATTGAATTGAATTAATCGTTCAACATTGAATTTTAGCCCTTATATTTGATATTGGCAGTACAAAATTTTACTTAACAAAAACGATACTAGTTAAAGGGACAGTTCGATTCAAGACCAGCTACAGGGCAGTCGGAACATTCAGGTATTTGTTATGACATACGAGCAGTCTTGTTATCATATACCCTCTCTATTAAAATCAATTTTTGCTAAAATAGTTCAATTAGATATGTCTACCATTTCATAAACTTACTATTGGAAGAAAAAATGAAGATCAAGTTTCCTTCCTCCTTTTGGGATCATAAAATGAAAAAAGTCCTCCGCATTCCTTTTAAGATGCAGAAATGTTGTGTAGGTTAAAACTGTATTGCAGGTGGATGATTTTAGTTAAAGTATTTTAGATAAAAAACAAGAATGCACCTATATCAAGGTAAAGCCCTGAATGTTCAGACTGTCCCTTAATTCATATCGAATAGTTTTTGGGAAAAGAAAACCTGTGAAATCAGGGTGTAAAATTTTGAGCCGTACGAATTTAAAACGACCAATTGGCTAGCCTCAATTCAATTTTGAACGATTTTGTTTTGCGGGATAACTCGCCACGCATAAACAATTCTCGTTACGATCTCAGCAATATGATTAAATTCTTCGAAGAGCGCATAATTTAGTCCAGAACATGGCCAATTTGGCAGTTTTCGAACACCCAGAATTATATAAAATGATCGGGGGTAAAAATCTTTTTTAATTTGGACTCAGGAAGTCGATATCTTCAAGAGGGTATATTTTTTTGTCGAAAACTATTATTTCGATCGGCGAAAACTGACTGAATAAAAAAGCACACCGAGCATGAATATTCCATTGTCTTCGGAAGTCGGAACAAAAAAAAAGAACATAAGTTACAACAATAATATTTGACTATTAAAACATGCAAAATTGAGTCTATAAATTCAGAATGTCCATGTAATTTTTTAACACTCTATCGGACAGTTTTTCTGCTATATTTACATCTTCGCTGGTTGTAAAATTAAATTTAGTAATATTTCCCAAAGAAAATTGCTTCTTACGGTATTGCACAAGCTTGTTGGTAGTGACTCTCAAATTCAGCATAAAAAATCCTTCCGAGGTCAAAAGGCGAATTGCCTCGAATACCTGCTGGTAGATTTTTCTCGCTTCGTCAATTTTAGATTCTTTGACTAACTTACACATTGCAGTACAGCTGCGTCCAAAAATATTGTACGTAGACCCGATGAACGATTTCAATCCAGCGACTTGTACTGGAAATATCATTTCATCACAGCCGAAACAAACTTGAATATTGTCAAAAGAGTTCTGAATTTCAAATGCATCGATGAAATTTGCCGAGGTGTACTTCACAGCTCTCAAATTTGGGACTTCCTCTGATTCAGTCAATATTTTAAGGAAGTCGCAAAATTTAGTAAAACATTGTGGGGGTGTGGCACCTTGAATGTTGTACAGCATGAGGGGTGTATTTGGGAGGGCGTGGCTGACTCTGACCAAGTACTGCAGCATGTGTTGAGGGGTTTGCGGTGAGTGGTGGGGGAAGGAGGGGAAGGTGACTGCCACTGCACTTGCCCCCCTCTCGGTCGCATGTGTTCCCAGTGCCACCAGATCCTCCCACACGGGGCTGCCAATGTGAACAATGACGTGTTCGAATTTGTTTGTCACTGATGGGGTCAGCCATGCCTCCTGTATACGCAGTCGCTCCCCCACACTCAACACCGAGAAGTCCCCCGTCGTCCCGCAAACAAATACGCCGCGAGCCCCGTTGCTGCTCAGATAATCGGCGTATTGCTCAACACATGCGAAGTCCAAAACCGTTCCTCCTGTTTCATTTAAACTATGCGGGTTCAGCGTTGCAACAATTAATCCTTCGATCGGTTTCAAATATAAATCTGGCTTTTCTGTCGACATTGTAGCGTTTGGTGTAGTCATAAAATACAATCTTAAGCGAGCATTAGTAAACTGAAAAAACTCAATTTTGTCGAATCGAAAAAAAAAAGTGAGAACAACCTTGACACATTTCTAAGTCTTTGACAGCTCGATAAGAATACAATCAGAATTATTAAAGACATTTTCAAGGAAAATAGTTATGTTTTTATGAGTTTTTTTTTAAATAGCGTCGTTACATTTTCGTGAGGGGATTATAGAACATTTAGAAAGTTAGCGAAATAGGCATAAAAAACAACAATTGTCTTCAAAAAGTAAAAAACAAAAAAATGAAAAAAAAAATGAAAAAAAAAGTTTCTTAAATTTTTTCTTGTTTTGCACAAAAAAAAATTAAATTTGCATAAAATTTTTATGGCCAAGAGAGCGCTTCATGAAGCTTTCAAAGCTGATTTTATTTTTAGTAAAATCAAGTTTTTTTTAGCCTGAATGGCCAATATTTATTAGTAACGAACGTTACTCGATCGCTTCACTCGCTCAAAATTGGAATAAAACTCAAAAAAAAACCTGTTTTTCTCAACATGGGTTCTATAAGGGCTTTATTATGATATATCAGTCGACCCATTCCGATATTATTTGCGGAACCTGATTTTGCGAGAACATCAAAAAAAAGAAACAAAACCTGAAACACACCGGAATACAAAGTTCCTCATTTTCATATGGTCGGAACAAAAATTTAATCAAGATACATCATCATACATAACTTAGTCTCTTGAAATGCTTAAAATGGTAAATCGCAAAATAATTAGTATTGCCAATCAACAAAGTCGGGAAAAATTCCAACCGTATTTTCTCGACACTCGGAGGACCAAAATCGTTTTTATTTGTAGCTCAAATCAACACTCAAAAAGGCTTCAATGTGATAATATGAGGATGCATTGCAATCTGGGGCGGATCAAAGATTTTCTCAAAGGGAGGATTTTAAAAAAATGTTCAATAATTTTGTCGACTTTTTTTGGTCGACCAAAATGATTTTCTGAGCTCTCCCAAATCAGTAAAAAGACACTGTTTCGGCCACAAATTTAAGAAAAACAAGCCAAAAAAAGCGTTTTAGGGCATTTATTGAAAATGTTTGACCAAAAAATTGCGTTTTTTCGGCGCGCGCTAAACCCCCGTAGCTTAAAAATTACCCATTTCTAAGGTAATCTAAGCTCATTGCTTCACCACCCCACCCCCCCCCCCCCAAGCACGAAAAACACATCGCCCGAATGAACTGGCACGATGTCAAGTTTGAGAAGAAAAATGGTCACCTACAATGTGAAAATTAAATGTTTTAATTAAACTTCATGTTCTTCAATCAAAAGCGCGCTCTAATGGTTCTCCTTGATCAAAATCTTTGAAAAAAAAGTAATTCATGCCAGAAAAAAAAAAACGATGATGCTGATGATATTAATCCTAAATAATTTTAATAGGGTTATGAATTTCTCAGTACCTGTTAGTTAACACAAAACAAAACATTTATACATGATGTTAAGTAACAAGAAATTCAGCTCACAGCACACTTATGATACCTTATCATTCTAATTTAACAAGGCCTCGATGCAATCACGCTAATGGCAAACAATCGGTCAAAAGCTAAGTATAACTGACAAGAAACCAGGAAACCAGATAAGCTATCAATTGGTCAAGTTCGAAATCCACTGAATAGGAAACTTTCATTTACACAATAGCCAGTCCAGTTTTTCTGATCAGTATTCCAAGTTGCATCGAAATCAGAATTTCATCTCGGTTGAAATAAACCCATTATGAAGCCATACACGCATATGCAAGGGTTAAATGTTGCCGTTCTAGCAACTTACAAAACAGAATCTGAGAATCAACCAGGTACTGTGGAAATCGATTGTTCTAAAATCGAAAGGTACGCCGATTATCTGAGCAGCAACGGAGCTCGCGGCGTATTTGTTTGCGGGACGACGGGGGACTTCTCGGTGTTGAGTGTGGGGGAGCGACTGCGTATACAGGAGGCATGGCTGACCCCATCAGTGACAAACAAATTCGAACACGTCATTGTTCACATTGGCAGCCCCGTGTGGGAGGATCTGGTGGCACTGGGAACACATGCGACCGAGAGGGGGGCAAGTGCAGTGGCAGTCACCTTCCCCTCCTTCCCCCACCACTCACCCCAAACCCCTCAACACATGCTGCAGTACTTGGTCAGAGTCAGCTACGCCCTCCCAAATACACCCCTCATGCTTTACAACATTCAAGGTGCCACAAACCCACAGTTTTTCAACGATCTACTCCCAATTTTGAAAGAAGTTAAAGCTCAAATTCCAAATTTTGTTGGCGTCAAATATACTTCAACTAATTTCATCGACGCTTTCGAGATTTTCACTCAACTGAAACTTGACGTTGGAATTGGCAATGATGAAAAAATATTTGCAGCATGCGCTTTGGGTTTCAAGCACTTTATTTGTGCGACCGGGAATTTATTTTGTCAAAAACATTGCGAGCTTCTGTCTCTGTTTTCGAGTGGAGAAATAAATGAAGCTCAAGAACTTGCAAGGCGATTGTTTGATGCTACCCGAATGATCTCATCAGAAGGGTATCTTAAGCTGACCTTGCGCACAGCTACCAATAGGATCATGAAGCTCAAATATGGCTTGGATCTCGGTCCCGTTAACTTCCCCTTTCTAGTACAGGAAGACTATCAGCTGGCAGAAAAATTGACCGAATGCCTCTTCAAAGAGTTTGGAGACTTGTTATAAAACTCAGACTGCTTTTCAAAAAGTCTTACCTGATCTTCAAGTTTGATGCTTGTTTGAATTATATAAAAAGGCAGGTAATATTGAGTTGATAATTTAAATAAATTAAAATAAAAGTGTAAGTTGCATTTCGATCAAAAATAATAAAATGAATAGTCAATTTTGCTGAGAGTTAGGATGAAAAGGGAATGCAAAATCTATTTCGTCATCAGTTCAGTTATATCTTACAGTTCAACTATCCGATCATAAGGAAATATTTTGAGTAATCCAAAAAAAAATTAATAGACCTCGTTTTGACGCACAAAATTTCGAAATCTTGAAAGAGGTTTCGTTTCAATGAAAAGAAGTAACTAACAAACTAACTTTTTTAATTAAGCGAACTCAAAAATGGTTCGGCCAATAATCGTCGTCAAGTACGTGTCCATTTCCATTTCAAATTTGTTCACTCTGTGACGTCAGCAGAAGGAGAAACAGGAAGCAAAATGACGCGGGAAATAAAAGCAGTTCTCCCTGCGCCCACCCGCCTGATGAGCAAGGTTTTAAACAATGAGAGGAAGTCCCCTTATCATTGTTGCGGTTTGACGCGCAAATGATCAATCAATGTCGTCATTAACCAACAAATACGTCATTTAAAATGCTGTGTTTCTTCTTTCACTTCTTGAAGAGACAAACAATTGATTGGTACGCTTTTAAGTTTCAATTATCCAGCGAGCACAGCCAAATTAATTAATATTGAAATTTTATATTAAAAAAGTGCTGTCTGCCTAGTACCAGCGCTAGGCACTTAACTCTTAAACTGTGCACCCAAGCTTAACAGGATACTTAACTCATGTTTCTTTAAAAAGAACCTGCTAATTGTTCAAAAATAGAAAAAAATGAGATGATTATTTATCATGAAAAAAACTTCATCATAAAACAGTTCATGGATAAATCACTTGGTATAAAGTTAGAAAAGGAAATGTGGAATTAATCTTCATGTCGCTTTCCTTTCTAAAATTCATCAATGCAATTAACGAATCGTCTCCTCCAATACCTTATCTGATCTAAGGAAAGTTTGAAAAAGCAATCCGATTTTTCGTTAACTGATTTCATCGCAAAAATTTAAACTTATTCTTGAATTTGATCGGCAATTGATAACTTTTCATCTCGATGGTTACAAACGTCGGAAATTCAGGGAAAAAAGGGATCGAAATTTTTAAAAGTGCAAACTACAAATGCTACAAATAAATCTTCCTTTCCACTATCCCTAACTGTACATCAAGATAGAATCATTTGGCCACAGAGGTGAGAAACTCGTGCATGGTCTCTAAGTTACCCTTTGTGGTTCTTCGATATCACGATTCTTCGAATTTTCGAGAACTAATTACATTGGTCTTAAATGGTGCTACCGGCTAAAGCTTTACAAGGATTGGCTGACTTAATCAGATTCGATTGTAGTATTCCACCAACTAAGTGAAAGGGATCTTAGATTTCATTATTCTCTTCGACTTGCTTACATCTCGATAATTTAATAACGTACAGAAATCTAGGCGATTTCTACGAGGTTATAGAAGCGGAATCATTTAAAGAAACAGAGCTTGTTAAGAAATGACTTTTTGTTCCGACTTTCGTAACGAAAGTAACGGAATATTTGTGCTCGGGGTGGTTTTTTTCTTCAGACAAATTTCGACTTTTTATCAAGCCAATTTTGTCGGAGTTTTTTTTATATCATTCAAAAGGTAGTGTTTTCCTGAGCATAAATTTGAAAAAAATATTTCACCTGTGATCATTTTTCGTAAAATTATGGGGGTTTAAAGAATGCCATTTTAGCCAATTTGGGACAATTAACGCGCAATATATTTCGCGCTATTAACGCAATTTGATTTGTCATAGAAATCGTTCCAAATTGGTTGAAGGAAGCTTAATTGCCATAATTTATTTTTTACTAGGAGCGGAAGTTATTACTTTGAACTTTATATGGCGTGTGCGGGGATGATTTTACAAAAATATCTCAATTTTATTTTAATTTTCGTTTTATTTGTATTACAATTAATTTTTTCATGCTATTACTGCTCCATAAACTTTAAAAGGCAGTCCGAACATTCAGGGCTTCGCCCTGATACGAGCAGTCTTGTCTTACTTTCTTTTCAACCGGATAGTGAATATTAACACTGATTTTGCTGAACTGTCGGGTCACAAATTCATAGACTTAACTTTATTTCTCAATCGTATCAAAAAATAGCTTAGATCATTCCTGTATGCGATCGATCTTTTAAATGCATATTTTCTTTTTGTACTAAAAAATTTCATAATAGTTTTGATTGTAAGTTTAGCACATTTTAACTATTTCCCCAAAAGTGAAATGAAAATCTTTCAAAAAACAATCAAATTAATGCTTTTTTCTTGGATAACTAAAACACAGGCTATACAAGCTTTCCTAAAATCGTACGTGAAAAAAAGCACCTGAATTGACTACAAAAATTTTACAAAAAATTCTGCATCACGAATTTTATTCAATCACACCCAACCCCCCATCTTCCAACTCCCATCCCACCCCACATTACGTATAACCATAATTTTAGAATCTCACCCCCTCACATCGCATCTAAATCCTACTGTTTAAAGAAAAAAAAAACAAGGAACACAAAAAATAAGTAAAAAACTGGAAAAAAAATTCTCAACAGTGCCGAAAAAATGTCATGAACGCAAGGAAGTAGGAAAAAAATGATTTGTTTATTGAAAAAACTTCAAATTTCGAAATTCAAAGACAAAATATATGGCCTTGAAGCTCTTTCAATTTCAAGAACAGTTCATGATTGACATTTTTGATAAAGTTAACTCAATTTGAAAAAAAACTGGATCAATAGGTAAATTTTTTATTCAACTGGGAAATCTGTAAATTCAATTCCACTTTCGAAAGTAGAAGTCGGTCACGTTCATCCTGACCTATACACTTTTGCTGTTCGATTGTGGAGTTTGCTTTCCTTTTAACAAAAGAAATGAATTGAACTGAAAAAAAAACAAGTCAAACCGTAAAAAAACCAACACAAAAATCACAAAGACCAAACAGTCGACGGCGATCTTTTAAATGCATATTTTCTTTTTGTACTAAAAAATTTCATAATAGTTTTGATTGTAAGTTTTGCACATTTTAACTTTCCCCAAAAGTGAAATGAAAAACTTTCAAAAAACAATCAAATTAATGCTTTTTTCTTGGATAACTGAAACACAGGCTATAGAAGCTTTCCTAAAATCGTACGTGAAAAAAAGCACCTGAACTGACTACAAAAATTTTACAAAAAATTTTGCATCACGATTTTTATTCAATCACACCCAACCCCCCATCTTCCAACTCCCATCCCACCCCACATTACGTATAACCATAATTTTAAAATCTCACCTCCTCACATCGCATCTAAATCCTACTGTTTAAAGAAAAAAGAAAAAAACAAGGGACACAAAAAATAAGTAAAAAACTGGAAAAAAATTCTCAACAGTGCCGAAAAAACGTCATGAACGCAAGGAAATAGGAAAAAAATGATTTTACTTATTGCATATTTTCTTTTTGTACTAAAAAATTTCATAATAGTTTTGATTGTAAGTTTTGCACATTTTAACTATTTCCCCAAAAGTGAAATGAAAATCTTTCAAAAAACAATCAAATTAATGCTTTTTTCTTGGATAACTAAAACACAGGCTATACAAGCTTTCCTAAAATCGTACGTGAAAAAAAGCACCTGAACTGACTACAAAAATTTTACAAAAAATTCTGCATCACGAATTTTATTCAATCACACCCAACCCCCCATCTTCCAACTCCCATCCCACCCCACATTACGTATAACCATAATTTTAGAATCTCACCCCCTCACATCGCATCTAAATCCTACTGTTTAAAGAAAAAAAACAAGGAACACAAAAAATAAGTAAAAAACTGGAAAAAAAATTCTCAACAGTGCCGAAAAAATGTCATGAACGCAAGGAAGTAGGAAAAAAATGATTTGTTTATTGAAAAAACTTCAAATTTCGAAATTCAAAGACAAAATATATGGCCTTGAAGCTCTTTCAATTTCAAGAACAGTTCATGATTGACATTTTTGATAAAGTTAACTCAATTTGAAAAAAAAATGGATCAATAGGTAAATTTTTTATTCAACTGGGAAATCTGTAAATTCAATTCCACTTTCGAAAGTAGAAGTCGGTCACGTTCATCCTGACCTATACACTTTTGCTGTTCGATTGTGGAGTTTGCTTTCCTTTTAACAAAAGAAATGAATTGAACTGAAAAAAAAAACAAGTCAAACCGTAAAAAAACCAACACAAAAATCACAAAGACCAAACAGTCGACTGCGATCTTTTAAATGCATATTTTCTTTTTGTACTAAAAAATTTCATAATAGTTTTGATTGTAAGTTTTGCACATTTTAACTTTCCCCAAAAGTGAAATGAAAATCTTTCAAAAAACAATCAAATTAATGCTTTTTTCTTGGATAACTGAAACACAGGCTATACAAGCTTTCCTAAAATCGTACGTGAAAAAAAGCACCTGAACTGACTACAAAAATTTTACAAAAAATTTTGCATCACGATTTTTATTCAATCACACCCAACCCCCATCTTCCAACTCCCATCCCACCCCACATTACGTATAACCATAATTTTAAAATCTCACCTCCTCACATCGCATCTAAATCCTACTGTTTAAAGAAAAAAGAAAAAAACAAGGGACACAAAAAATAAGTAAAAAACTGGAAAAAAAATTCTCAACAGTGCCGAAAAAACGTCATGAACGCAAGGAAATAGGAAAAAAATGATTTTACTTATTGCATATTTTCTTTTTGTACTAAAAAATTTCATAATAGTTTTGATTGTAAGTTTTGCACATTTTAACTATTTCCCCAAAAGTGAAATGAAAATCTTTCAAAAAACAATCAAATTAATGCTTTTTTCTTGGATAACTAAAACACAGGCTATACAAGCTTTCCTAAAATCGTACGTGAAAAAAAAGCACCTGAACTGACTACAAAAATTTTACAAAAAATTCTGCATCACGAATTTTATTCAATCACACCCAACCCCCCATCTTCCAACTCCCATCCCACCCCACATTACGTATAACCATAGTTTTAGAATCTCACCCCCTCACATCGCATCTAAATCCTACTGTTTAAAGAAAAAAAAACAAG